CACTCGGACTCCGTCGGGGGCAGGGACAGGCGCACACTCGGACTCCATCGGGGGCAGGGACAGGTACACACTCGGACTCCATCGGGGGCAGGGACAGGCGCACACTCGGACTCCATCGCGGGTAGGGACATGGCACACTTGGACTCCATTGCGGGCAGAAGTACAGCGGGAAGACCGTGGGGGCAGAGAGAAGGGTCTTGGGGAATGAGTGATGAAAGAAGTTGGGAAGTGTGGGTTTTAATCATAGTGGCATAATATGGAGAGTTACGGTATGTTTTCAGGGTCATCGTACTAAGCTTTTTAAATAACATGTATGATAGAAAAGAAAGGGAATTAATGTAAATCCCGATCCTTTGTGAAAAAACTTATATTGATGTTTGCTCAAATGTGAAAATTTTCATAAACTTTTGACTTGTATTTATATAACCCCAGAATTACTGGTACAATCAGCAAACTCCTGGCACCAGTGATTCTGGGGAAGGAGAGTGAAAAGCGAACATGGTACATTTGAGACCTTTCTTTTATTTGTGTGATTTGTTCAGTTTGCTAACGTTATTGATACCTTTCTTCTGTGTGTTAAGTTCAAGTTCACTGTTGGCAGGATTTTACAATTACTGGGTTATTTGTTTTACTTACCTTAGAGTCCACATGAAAATTTCATGGACTTTTAACATTTGGATGGGAATTTAACTTTATTGTCAGACGTTGTTTCTAGTGGATAGGTCAATAATTGCACATTGTTTTTTAGTTAGTAAGTATCAAATTCATTGAGGTATAATTTAAAACCTTGTCTTCACTTTTGAGCTTTTTTTTTGTTTGGTCTTTTTGCAGTATTGGAAATAAATGACACTGAATTTTCTCCTTTTTTTTTTCAAAGACTTTCAGCTGAACTCTCACCTCTCAACACTGGCAAATATTCATAAGATCTACCACACCCTTAATAAGCTAGTAAGTCAATCTTTTAAAGACAAAATTACCAACTGTTTGAAGTAGTGATTTTGTGTAACTGTTTGATAAAAATTTAGATAAAAAATGAGGCATTAAGATATCAATTGCTTATGAAAGTGCTGAACTTGAAAACTTGACATTGGCACGTGATTTCTTGGTCAATAATGAACATATTTCTTGCAGAATCTCACAGAAGACGTTGGCCAAGACGATCACCAAACAGGTATCTATCATCCTAACACTGCTTAACTTTAAACAGACTTCTTAATATAGAACTGTGACAGAAATACTAGCCACAGAAGCTCTGTTTTGTTGAAACACACTCCATTAGCAGGTTGTGACTTGGTTGAGGTTGTTTTTCAGAGTGTAGTATGGGCAGCCTTGGTACAGCCCTTCCCAGTAAGAAATCTGTTCTGGGGCTGTGGTTTATGATAGAACACTTTAACCCCTTTAAATAAAAGTGGTTAGGTATTTTCTCTAATGATTTTAAGATATCATTTTTTCCCCTCTACTGATGTATTTTAGTTTATACTGAAAAGGTGCGATAGTAGTGGAGTTTGAAAGGTATTACATAATAAATCTTAAAAGGAACTGAAAATGATTTGGTAGGTGGTGTGTGTGTGTGGTATAGGTCCCGAGGATTTATAAATGGGAAAACTGAAATTTGAATATTGTAAATTATTCTCTAGCCCTGTGGTTCTCAGAGTTTAGCTAGCACTATAATAATCTAGGGGAGCTTTTTAAAAACGTAGATGGCTAGACTCCACCCCCAGATTTGGAGTGGGGCTCCAGAGTTTGATGTTTCTCAGAAGCTCCTGTGATCATGATCAATGCAACTGCTCTAGAAACTGCACTTTGAGAATCGCCGCTCGGAACTGCAAGTAATCGTAAAGTGCAGAAACTTGGATTTGATCTACAGTGATTCAACTTCCAGCAAAAATTGTTAACATATACTTTATGGTTTTTGAAAATGACTAAAGTAGTGTATCAATGTATGCTTGTTTTATTCTGTTCGAGCTGCTATAACTAAATACCTTAGACTGCATAATTTATAAATTACACGTTAAAAAAAATTCAATAGATATAGAGGGCGCAGGTGTTTTTTTTTTTTTTTTTTTTTAAATAATGGATGATTTGTATAGTGGTGAAGTCAGGGCTCTTAGTGTCCCTGGCACCTGAACAGTGTACATTGTAGCCAGTCAGTGATTTGGGGTCCTTTCACCCGTCCCCTGTCCTCCCCGCTTCAGAGTCTCCAGTGTCCCCTGTGCCACTCTGTGACTTGTGTACAGGGTCTGGCTCCCATATGTGAGTGAGTACGTGTGGTATCTTTTCATTCTTAGGATAATGGCTTCTACTTCCATTCAGGTTGCTGCCAGTGACGCTGTTTTATTCTTCTTTGTGGCTGAGTAGTAATCTCTGGTGTCCACACACCTGATGCCACAGTTCCCTTATCCATTTATCTATCACTTGAGGGGCACTTAGGTTGATTTTATACCTTTGCAGTTGGAATTGTGCTGTGATAAACATGTTTCTTTTCAATATAATGACTTCTTTTCCTTCGAGTGGATCCCCAGTAATGGGATTGCTGTATTGAATGATAGGTCTACTGTAGTCCTTTGAGGCAGTCTTCATCCTGTTTTCCATAAAGGTCGTGCCCATTTACATTCCCACAACAGTGTACGGCCTTCCTTTTTTATCACATCCACACCAACATCTGTTGTTTTTTGACTTTAATAAAATGGCCATTCTGACAGGGTTAAGGTGGTATCTGACTGTGGTTTTAATTTGCATTTCCCTGATAATTAGTGGTGTTGAGTTTTTTTATGTTTATTGGCCATTTATATATCTTTCATGACTTTTGCCCACTTTTTAATGGGGTCATTTTTTTCTTGCTGATTTGTTTGAGTTCTTTGCAGAGTTTGGTTATTAATCCTTTGTTAGAGGTGTAGTTTGGGAATATTTTCTCATGTTCTGTAGGTTGTCTGTTTACTATGCTGATTATTCTTTTGCTGTGGAGAAGCTTTTTAGTTTAATTAAGTCCCACTTATTTTTGTTTTTGTTGTATTTGCTTTTGGAGTCTTAGTCATAAATTCTTTGCTGAGGCCAGTGTTCAGAAGAATTTTTCCTAAAGTTTTCTTCTAGAATTTTTATGGCTTTAAGTTGTATATTTAAATCTTTAATTTATCTTGAGTTAATTTTTGCATATTGTGAGAGATAGGACACTGCTTCATGTGGCTCTTCAATTTTCCCAGCACCATTCATTGAATAGGGCATGCTTCTTTCCTCAGTGGATGTATTTGTCTGCCATGTTGAAGATCAGTTGATTGTAGGTTTTTGGCTTTATTTCTGGGTTTTCTGTTCTGTTGCACTGATGTGTGTGTCTGCTTTTATACCTGTACCATGCCGTTTGGGGTACTGTAGCCTTGTAGTGTAATTTGAGACCGGGTACCATGCTGTTTGGGGTATTGTAGCTTTGTAGTGTAATTTGAGACCGGGTAATGTGATGCCCTCATGTTTGTTCCTTTTGCTTAGCATAGCCTTGGCTATTTGAGCTCTGTTTTGATTCCACATGAAATTTAGGGTTTTTTTTTCTAATTCTGTGAAAAATGGTATGGTATTTTTATGAGAATTGCATTGAATATGTAAATCACTTTGACTAATGTGGTCATTTTAGTAATACTGGTTCTTTTGATCTGTGAGTGTGGGAGGATTCCCGTTGGTTTGTGCCACTGTGAGTTCCTCCATCAGTGTCTTGAAGTTCTGTAGAGATCCTTCACCTCCTTGGCTAAGTACATTTCTTGGTTATTTATTTATTTATTTGCAGCTATTGTAAATGGTAGTGATTCTTGATTTGATTTTCGGCTTGGCTGTGATTAGTGTATAGAATTGTTACTGATTTGCCTACATTAATTTTGTAACCTGAGACTTTACTGAATTTATTAACTCTAGGAGTCTTTTGGAGGTCTTTAGGGTTTCCTGGATACAAGATCCTATCTTCAGCAAACAGGGATAATTTGACCCTCTCTTTTCTAAGTTCAGTAACTTTTTTTCCTTGTGTCTGCTCGCTCTGGCTGAGATTTCCAGCGCTGTGTGGAATAAAAGTGTTGAAAGTGGGCATCCTTGTTCCACTTCTTAGAGAGAGTGCTTTCAACTTGTCCCTGTTTAGTATGATGTGGGTTTATCTTATATGGGTTTTATTATTTTGAGGTATGTTCCTTCTATGCCTGATTTGTTAAGCATTTTTATCATGCAAGGGTGCTAGATTTTATCAGATGCTTTTTCTGCATCTGTTGAGATGATCATGCAGTTTTTGTTTTTAATTCTATTTATGTGGTGAATCCGTTGATTCGTATATGCTGAACCATCCTTGCATCCCTGGGAAGAACCCATTTGATTGTGGTGAATTATTTTTTTGATGTGCTGTTGGATTCAGCTGCGTCTGGGTTCATGAGTGATCCTGGTCTGTTGTTTTCTTTTTTTTGTTGTGTCCTTTCCTGGCTTAGGTATCAGGGTGGTATTGGTTTCATAGAATTTGTTAGGGATGATTCACAAAAGATCATCTGTGACTACTGCAAATATCTTTATGCACACCAGTTAGAAAAATCTAGAGAAGATGGATAATTATTGGAAATACACAACCTCCCAGGGCTAAAGAAAAAGCAGTAGAAATCCTGTGCAGAGACCAGGAATGGTCAGTCAGATTTAATTAGTAATTAAAAATCTCCCCACACAAAAATGCCCAGGACCAGGTGCATTCACAGCCAAATTCTACAAGACCTACAGCAGAGAATTGGTATCAATTCTGTTGAAACTGTTTATAATATCGAGAACAACAGAAATGGTTGTATGAACAACAGCTCATAGTTCTGGAGATGGAGAAGTCCAAGGTCAAGGTGCTGCAGCTTTCATGTCTGGTCAGGTCTTTTCCTCATCCCTGCACCCTCACATGGTGGAGGGGCAGGCCACCCCTCAGGCCTCTTTTATAAGGGTGCTAGTCCTGTTCCCCAAGGGCTCCACGCCCAAGACCTAATAGCTCCCAAAGACCCTACTGCTTGATACCAACACCTTGAAGATTAGATTTCACCATATAAATTCTAGAGGGCCACAAACATCAGGCCATAGCAGTGCTTGTTGGAGAATTTGAATAGCATAGAAGTAAATGGAATGTGGGCCTGTGCCTGTGCCTCAGTGAGTAGGGCACCAGCCCCATATACCTAGGGTGGCGGGTTCAAACCTGACTCGGCCAAACTGCAATAAAAAAATAGGCATTGTGGCAGTGCCTGTAGTCCCAGCTACTCGGAAGGCTGAAGCAAGAGAATTGCCTAAGCCCAGGAGTCGGTTGCTGTGAGCTGTGATGCCACAGCACTTCTCTGAGGGTGATAAGGTGAGACTGTCTCTAAAAAAAGAAGAAGTAAATGGAATAAAAAGTGATGATCTTTCCTCACGTTTCCCGGTCCTCCTGCCTCCCCCAGCATGGGGTTTAATGTTGGTTCTTTCAGACATTTTTATGCGTGCATGTATGTTTATAACAGTTTGGTTTTTATTTATTTTCATTAAATGATTAGAGGCTGTTGAGATTTAGGGTTCTCTCTACCTTCTCCTCCCAACTGGTTCAAAATCAATTGAAAATTAGCCCTAGATAGAGATTCTATTCATAGCCTTGTTGCAAAGAGTGTAGTGGATTGCAGCAAGGATGCACAGGCTTCCCAGCATTTCGCCTGCACCGCGGCCACGTTGGGTGAGCACAGGCAGCACACCTGCTGTCCCAGCCCAGAGCAGGATGGGGGGAGAAGCCTCCACATCCTCGCCCGCTCTGCTGAAGGGGTTCAGAGGGGGCTCTCTGCTCAGTTCAGCCTCACAGATTAGACCAGACTCTCCTTCCACAGGGAGGAGTGAAATAAGGGGACAGAGACTGTGCCACGAGTGGTCCAGGAGTCAGGGGCACCAAGGGTCCCTTCACCTTATTTTTCCTATCAATAAATATCGATTAAGGGCAGTCAAAAGCAGTTTCTTCATTCATTTTAAAAGAAATATATGCATGGGATTTTAAAAGAATTGTCCAAAAGTATACAAAGAAAGTCAAGGTTTCTGTCCCATTTTATCACCTCAGCTCCCACCCACCCCTAGTCCCCCAACAATTGACTTCCTAGAGGTTAACTCTTCAGTTTTGCATATTTGTTAACCAAATGATGAGGATGGCGGTGTCTTTTTCCTTCAAACACA